TGATAAATACTTTTATAAATAAAGTAGTCCGATTAATCTAGATAGGTTGTATGTATGATGTAAAATAAATCAAACAATATGTTATTTGATGTTTCTATATGAAGGTAGTCTAGAGGGTAAAAAATAAAAAATATGATAAGGAAAACAAATAAATATATGGTGAGCTCAAAGATTTGATCCTAAAACCTCTAATCATATAATGCAATTCACCATCTTAGCTAAAGTTAAACCACACTTGAAAAATGCAATAAATAGATAATATATGTAATTAACTCTAATAGTGGTACATTGCGGTACGTTACTTTAGTAATACATAGCGGTACACGTCGTTTACTATAAAACTTTCATAAATAAATATAAAAGTATTACAAACTACAAGCCTTACTAGTTTTTCTATAACAATGAGAATATATTAAATTAAAGTACTTCCATATTTGATCTTGCTGGTTTGAATAATCTGTCATTTGCCTTTGAGGATGCAACGAGAAACACACTATTCTATTTATGTATTCCACTTTCTTTTGAACTTGGAAAATGCATTGGAAGATGCTAAACAAACAAATTCTGACATACATATTTTTAAATATACAAGATACATAAATGTTTGTACCGAACGTTTGACTCACTTGCACTAGAGACTAGTTTCTATAACTAGGGAGATTTTGAATGGGTATTAAAAATAGGGAAAAAATTGTAGATGTAAATGAGTGTAAGAAAAAGTGAACAAAGTACTTCGTATAAGAGAGTGAATGTATGTAATTAAAATTCCATAAACTCTATAATTATATTCTCCCCTGCCCCTTTATTTTAGCTCATAAATATATGTTCACTTTATTGATTTTTATAAATTTATTTAACGCCAAACCTAAAATTATAACTATTGTTCGATTAATTCCTTCTTTTATGCTATCTTAATCATCTCCATGTTTATGTTTCAATAATCATTCATCATTGGATAGCTAAACTAAATCGATATGTACGGCTTTCCTTAAGTTAAACTTAATAATCCATAGTTATACAAAATAAAGGACGTTAGAATCCTAAACATTCAATTGATGCTATTTTATTGGATAACACTGATATATTTAGAGGTGCCAAAATATATCTTGACTTGAAAATAATTCGTTTCAGATTTAACTTGCATGGCACATTGATAAAATATGAGTTAAACTTGAACTAAACCCAACACGACAAGACCCAACAAATTCGGCCCAATAACCCGAATTGATACTTCATTCTATCATATACGATGTATTAACCTAATGATAGCCAAAAAGGGGAAATTTAGTAAGTTGTCGGCTAGTCTAGTCTGTACCGATGATTAGAGTGGTGTTACGAACTCGCCCATCACGGATATTGCTAGTGATATGGTAGTAGAGAGTACTATCCCTACTCATAATGCTTATGCTACCCTGGAAAACGAGGAAAAAGGATCAACTACCACTTTAAACAATCAGCAATTAGGACACGCTAAGGACAGGGGACTGGGGAAAACCTATGTGTTCACCAATGGAACGAAGGAACATAATCCGGTCCCTAAATATTTTTGATTTGTCTTTCTCGAAACTCAAGAAAGGGGAAGACTTTGAGGGGTTTCTTCAACAGTTCAACAGACTCGTGGATGACCGTACGTATGAAGGACAAGACTACACAATCTAGGCTTCTGATATTTACAAGGCGATGGGCTACTCCAAAGGTTCAAACGACTTGTCCATGCCGTCAAGTATTGTGAGTCCATTTGAGAGGAGATGCAACGAAAAGACCCGAAAGGAAAAGGTCATGATCTCTCCTTATTTTGATATGGTTAACCATGTTACTGGGTTTGATAAGCTTAGCACTACTGTCGGTGAGAAGGAAGATGAGTCCATTTCTCCATGTCTAGCTAATAACATCGATAAAGGTTCAAGCAATATGGAGAGAAGTGAAGTTCCTACGATAGAAGACTATCCTACCACTGACATTGAAAAGGTGGAATCCGTAGATTCAAATGAAGTTGACCCCATGGCTTTTGAACCCGACCAAGTGCAATCTTCTCCTTCTCCCTCTACCTTCATGTTCTCTGCCACAACAAGAAAGCAAGGGATGTCGCATGCACATGGAAAAGGCGATGAACAAGAAAGGTAAATTGTATTCTAGTTTCCATTATTTGTGCAGGTTATAAAAGCGTAAGGGATCAAGATTGGAGCATCTTATGACTAATGTCCGTGATCGAATATGTCAATCTCCTTATTTGTATTGCCAAGCATGCCATGAATGTTGTATCCCCTATTCCCAATCTAGGTCTTATGTTAGTATAGCTAACAGAGCTAAACTCTCTCCTTGTTTTACTTCTAGTCTTGAGTCAATTAGGAGCTAGTCTCCTTTTTGAACCATTGTCAAATAAAAAAAGAAAATAATAAAAACCTAATGACAGAGTATTTTTAAAAGGCATAGAAGCTAAAGGGTGAAGTTATTTGCATTATTGATTTACTTGATGCTTTTTCTTAATTTCTTTTGCACTCAAAATTTTCTTTACTCATTAACCGGTCATATAAAAGTTAAGAACAGCTAAATAAAGAGATATTTTATTCCTTGCTTGTTGCTTCAATTCTTTTCTTGTTCTTCCAAAAGCATAATCTGAAATCTCCTGCATTCTTGCTCACTGTACATTAGTGATGACTTGAAACATTATCTAGATTAATAATTTTTTCTTTTAAAAGTAATATTTACAAATGCATGGAATTTTAAAAAAGTATTTAATGAAGAAGTCCAAGATTAACATTTTAATTTATCTCCTCTCACAGTTTTATATATTTGTTTTCATATCACTTTATTAAAAGGTTTTTATTATATATATATTAAAAAAAAAATATATTGTAATTGGAGAAATTTAGAAGCTTGAGTTAAATTTTTTAAGCTAGATAATATGTAGGTAAGGTTCGTCTAAAATTAAAAATTACATATTCGAGAATATGGGTCAATAGTTTAGTTAAAACAAAATGACGTGGGAGAAAAAAAAATTAAAAAAAAATAATAAAAAAAATAAAAAAATAAAAAATAAAATTGGAGATCAAGTAGTGTGGAGAGATTGAATAAAAAAATTATAATATATTGACTAACAAATTATTTTTATGTGAAATCACCCTAACTAAGCCCGCGTTTCTTCATCTTATTTTTGCTGAACTGAAATTATTTTTATTAAACTGAAATTATTTTTGTTGAACAAAAATTATTTTTACTAAACTAAAATTATTTTTACTGAATTGAAATTAATTTTACTAAACTGAACTTATTTTTATTGAATATTAATTTTTTAAGGTGAAGTGAACAGGACCTAAGAGAAAGTGATATAATAAAAAAAAATGCAACCAATTTAAAAACACAAATTTTTAATGTGGCTGGTCACACCGTGTGGTCAACCATCATGGGGGTTATTTTGTTAGTGTTATAGGAGTTACCCGGTCAGTTTTACAGGGGTTATTTGTTGTAGGGATTACTTAATCAGTGTTATAGGGTTATTCGGTTAGTATTATAAGGGTTACTTTGCTATTTTACAAATGGCCACATGATGTGGCCAGCCGCACACAAGATGCACTGATCGATTTAAAAATCTAGAGTAAGTAAACAGTAACAATGTTTATGGGTTATTGAAATTTATTTTTGAAAATTTTGTGCGAAACTAACTTGTAAAATACAAACTCTTATATGTGGCTGGTCAGGTATCATGGAAGTTACTTTGTAGTGTTATAGGGGTTACTCAATTAGTATTACATGGATTATTTCGTGTGTTATACGGGTTACTCGGTCAGTGTTATAAGCTAAGGGTTAATTCGTTATTAATTTTTTAACAATTTAAGGTAGTTTTTCACACAAATCAATTTTTATAAGGCAATTTATAACAAAATTTCCTTTATTTTTTTAATTTTTTTTTTTTATTATCGAGCAAGCTAAGTTTGAAAAGGACATAAACAATAAATCATATTGGAGTAAATCTTACTCGATTAGTTCTTATCCAATAAGAAAACAATCAAATCATGATACATGTAAGTTAGTACGTATACATTTCTAATTTTTAAAAATATGAGAAAACACTTATGAATGAATAGTGTGAGGACAAATATATCCTTAAAATGTTTTTTTTACCTATATGTTCCCACTGTTATGATATTAATTGCATCTAAACTTTTCTTGTGTGATTTAATGATTTAACTCTTGTGAATAGTGTTTGGACAATTATATCCTTTAAAATTTTTATTTTACTTGTTTGTATTTTTTAATGATAATTGTCTTTTTTTTTTTGAATTTTTAAGGACATTGTGCGGCTATGTATACCACTAAAAATATTTGTTTATATATTTTTACTAGTTTTGCATTATATTTGTTCGTTAGGGTTATTGACTCAAATTATTTTAGCTAAATTGAAGTTATTTTTACTAACTAAATTTATTTTTGCTCATGGATTGAAACTATTTAAACTAAGGTCCTATCTCTTTACCTTAGAAAATTATATTCATTAAAAATAATTTTAGTTCGGTAATTTCAGTTCAGTAAAAATAAGTTTTATTTATTAAAATTAATTTCAATTCAATAAAAATCAGTAACATTAAAAAAAATAGAGAATTAATAAAAATAATTTCAGATCAACAAAAATATAATGAAGAGAATATTTATTTTTTTGTTTGTTTGTTTTTTTGGTGCACATAAAATGATGAAAATATGGCGTCACTTAATGAATATTATTATTGTATGGTAAACAGCACATGACCTCAAAATGTAAAGAAAATAGAGTGGAGTGAAGTACTATTTGTTTTAAGCAACATCTTCAATTCCAGATTCACACAGTGAAATAGTTAAACGTGATTCATAGACGAATCTAAGTTTTCCATTAAACAATCAAAGAATATGATTTTAATTTTACAAACTAAACTTTAATAAAAGATATACATTGCTTTATTCCTCAAAAAATGCTTTAAAAACATATGTAAACTACAAAACTAAACTAACAAACACAGTACCTTCTCAGTTTTCTCGTTTCCGAACCATCTCAAAAGGTCGAAGCCGGGTGTATAATTGGCTTTATAGGTATAGCTACCATGGCATACGCCCCGATTCGAGTGACCCCCATGGCATCTGATGTTTCCACGGGTTTTGAACGAGGCGGCATCTTCTTGGTATCTGATGAGAATGCCCTCTCCAAAGATATTGAGCATCTGCACCAACCTGATGCTTGTAGAACTGATATCAGACCTCTTTTACATCTTATAGAGGAAACGATCCTTCACATGGATGCTTCCGATGTGAACTTACAGGTATCGCGTATACAATAACTAAGATTAAAGTTTTTTCTACAAGCTTTGTTAATTATTATGTATAACTTTTGAGTATTATTTGAGACTTAAAACAAATTCAAAAACTGCACACTTTGCATGTTTAATTTACTGATAATTGTGCTCTGATCTCGTAAAGGATGGGGCTGTCAGAGAAGGTATTGAAGAATGTAATGCTTTTCCGAACACAATTAACAGGATATCCAAAGAGGTATTTGTTGTGTCCCTTCTTATTGAACTCTAATTTATTTATTATTAAAGAAGAAAAATGCATAAAGGTTGGAACAATCTATCTATCTATAACTATACTAAAACAAACAACACTATATACAAAAGCTCCACATGCCACTCAATTATTAAAAAAATTTCAGCTGATTTCCCCAATCCTAAATAAAACAATTGTCTAAATATAAAGTCTTATACTAGTATAGTGTCTGTACAATAGCACGGTTTTAAAAATTCACATATTAAAATTCTTAAAATTTAAACTATAATTAGCTTAATGCATTATTATTAGTGAAATTTTGTACGTTAATTGATTATTCATTCATCCGTAGCAATATTAATCACAATTATGTATGTCAATATAACAAAATATGTTATATCATATTATCAATTCATTACAGCAATATTGCCTTAGCCCCAAATTGATTTGTGGTTCTCTAAGTTGAATTGTCAAAAGGAAACATCCCTAAAGGACAAAAAAACTTAGCAAGATATATAATTTATTGAATAATAGTCGTAAAGCAAAAAAAAAAAAAAAAAAAAAAATTGATATCAATTGTAAAGAGAGAAACAAGTTATCTATTTTTTATTAATGAAGTTAAACTCTTTTATATGAGTAAAAATAATATATTACCCTTATAGCTTATCCCAATGCATGTATTTACATTAAAATCAAATTAGTTATAAAAGTTACCCGTGTAAAATTTAAGGTTGCACAATTTGACTAAAAGTTATCCTACAACTATTTAAGGTACACAAGTATGCTTGTAAACTTACCGAAAAAACAAAAAAAAAAATAAAAATAAATAAATAAATAAAATAAAATAAACCTAAATTGGAGGAGGTGTAGTTTTTTTTATGGTTTAAAAAAATCACACAATATAATATAGAAATAAATAATTCCACTTTTTCATGGTCTGACAATAACAATCTTACCTTTTAATTTAATTATTACGAGGCAATCCCACCTTTGCATACCATCTTCTTTTAATAGACCTTGACTTGTTAGTGACCGATTTTTGTAGGTTCGATGCCACAAAAATACAGAAAAAAAAACCTCAGCCACCACCCACCAACCCCTCACAAGCCACCATGAAACCCTAACCCTTAGCCTAGCCACCACCAAACACTGGCCGGCCGCCCTCCTTAACGTCCGAAAACCGCCAGCCGGCACCCACCCACCTACCCACCAAGTGATGTGTTTTTAGGGTGTTTATGGGATCGGAGGTTTTCGGGGCTGAGATAGTGAGATGGAGATTTTCGTGGCTGAGATGGGGAATTTCGGGATAGTTGGGTTGGGTTTTCGGTGGTTTTTCAGCGGTTATAGGGGTTTATCGAGGCTGGGATGGAGGTTTTCGGTGGTTATTCGGCGATTATAGGGGTTTATCGGGGCTAAGATGGAGGTTTTCGATGGTTTTTCAGCGATTATAGGGGTTTATTAGGGCTGAGATGGAGGTTTTCGGTTGTTTTTGGCAGTTATAGGGGTTTTTCGGCGGCTGGGTAGTGTTTTCAGGGTGGTGTTTGGTGGTTTTGGGGGTTAAATGGGTCGAGGGGTGATTTCGCGGGGTGGCTTTTGGTAGTGGGAGGTTCCGGTCGGGATTTTCAGGGGATTAGGGTGGCGTCCGACCAGCTTTAGGTGGGCCTAGGGTATGGGCTAGGGTTTCACTGTGGCTGGGGGTAGACAGTGGGTGTTTTGTTTTATTTTAAAAAAAAATTACTTTTTTTTTAACTTTTATCATTTTGACCTATTATTGAGCGACACGTGGCTTTAAAAAAAATAAAAAAAATGTCTTAACCTGTTTAACAGGTTGTAGGTAAAAAGGTTCATTAAAAGAAGATGACATACAAAGGTGGGATTGCCTCGTAATAATGAAAAGGTGGTATTGTTTTTGTCAGACCACGCAAATGTAGGATTATTTATTTCCATTTTTCCTATAAAATAATAATGTATTACAAAACTAATCACTTTTGCATATGGATTACCGTTTGGATATGTTCTGTTCACCTTATATTCACTTATTTCAGGTCTAATAAGTTCAGTTAAGTTTAGATTAGGAAAAATTAGTTCTGGTAATAAGGATTGTTCAAGTTTAAATTACAACTAAAATAAGTTTCAATAAGGTCTAATAAGTTTAGATAAGTAAAAATTAGGTGAATCTAACGCACCCTTAGTATCCGTATAATACAAGTAACAACAATGTCATTTTGTTTTTATAATTCAAGTCCATCCAGTTATGAAAAGATAATTTATTATATCCACTGGTAATAAAATACAATTATCATTAATACAAATATATTAAAACAAATGTGTTTAATATATTTAATTTATTGTATGTCAATTTATATATGTTTGTATAGGTATAGACTACTATAATACTCAAGCAGTTGCACGTTTAAAAACGTTAAGACATACACGTATTTTAATAAATCTGAACAAATATTTTGTCAAAAAGAATCGTATGACTTTATTGAAATAAAAAAATGTCAAGAATCTCAAGATCCAATATTATATTCAAGATAGTAAAAATAATTAGATGTATGATATTATAAGGAACTATATTCGGTCATCACTTTATTATTTTCACTTATTTTAGTGAAAATAAGATTAAATAAGTTTAGATAATATAAATTCAAGAAACATATAAGTTCAAGAAACTTATAAGTTCTAATAAATATTGATAATGGTTGATAAGGGCCACTTGAGTTGAATTTACAACAAATAAGGTCCAATAGAGAGTAAGGATAGCTCAAGTGGTTATAGCTTCCCTCCATGAGATCTTCAAATTGATTCACATCACCCGTCCTTGTGCTTCTTTAAACACCAAAAAAAAATAAAAAAATAAAAAATAAAAAATAATTAAAAAGGTCTAATATGTTTAGATAAGTGAGAGTGAAGGATAGCTAAGGTGATTTGAGCTTCCCTCTCCGATTCGAGGTGATCTTAGGATCGGTTCCAGGTCATATAAGATGAAAGGACAAGATTTTGAAAATTCTATTTGGTGGCCTCCAAATTTTGAAAATTACTTGCTAAAGTTTGTAATACAATACCAATAATACCGGTGCAGATGGAAAGACAAGTACTGAGTGGCACCAGTGAACACAATGTAACCCTCTCAGTTTTGGGTTTGTTGCAACACTTTTCTTGGGATGTCAAGGTGGTGATCACATTAACAGCAGCTATATATACGTTCGCAACCTACTGGCTCCGAAATTTTTCAAAATCTCTTGCATATTTTCTAAGGATGTATGAAGGCCAGTTTGAAGCCACTAAAAAATTAATAAAGGCCATACTTGATACAACCAAGTGTGTTGTTGAGTTTGAAGAGTTAAGCGGAATGTATTTCACTGATGAACATCCTGAACTCAAGGCTGCAAGGAGTCGTATTCCTATAGCTGTTTACATGATAATCAAAAGTGCGGTGATTGCTGCAGCCCAAATTACAACCATGTCTAGCCAGAAAGATGGGTAAGTTAAATGACTGTAAAATTATTCGACACCTAATGCAAGAATCAATAATGTAAGAACTATCCTTCATAAATTTGGATTTTTTTGTTTATTAATTTTTTTTTTTTTTTTTTGCCAGAAATATGCAAGCCACAGCCGAATTAAGAAAGCTTGAAACTATCACTGATCTTCTCAGGAACACCTTAATATACTTCAATGGGCTTATAGGTAAGATTTGATCAGTATTTCTTACTTGGGACTAATGTAACGTAATGCCTAAAAACATATATTGAGCTCTAATGAAGGAACATTGTTTTCTTATACAGAGGAGGAGAGGCAAATTGAGGCTTATAATAAGACCAAGAAAATCTTCTACGATACAATGCATTTTGACAACATGGAAATTCTGAGGACCTTGATCTATGCTGATGACGACATGCCTCCACTGTATGACGGTCCTGCAAAGAGAAGGGTTTGTACTCGAAACTTCAGTCAATATATATCAATTGTTACTCCTTCCACACAGTACGTAGCTATCTCGGCCTTGACATAGCTATCTAATCAGGGAAGTTGTACTTATAACATAACTATTTTTCAGGTCCATCTTGAGAATTTGAGGAGGAAAAATGTGTTGTTACTCATATCTGGCCTCGATATCACTCATGAAGAGCTGTCCATTCTTGAGGAGAGTTACAGTGAATCGAAGGTCCATAAATATGAGGTTGTCTGAATCCCAATCATTGACAGTTCTCTGCAATGGACTGATCCCATGAAAGTTAAGCTCGAGAACTTAAAAGACTCAATGCCCTGGTACTCTGTTCATAATCCATCATTAATCAGAAATGCAGTCATCAGGTTCCTGACAGATGACTGGCACTTTCATGGTAAGTCTATGCTTGTGGTGCTCAATTCTCAGGGAAAAGTTCTGAGCCCGAATGCAATCCACATGATGTGGATCTGGAAAAATCAAGCTTTCCCATTTACACGCGTAAGGGAGGAGGCGCTTTGAGAGCAGGAAACATGGAGGCTTGAACTGCTTGTTGATGCCATTGATCAGACAATTCTAGACTGGGTAATTTTCCTGGACTATTTTACAGAATTTTACTCCCTTCATTCCTTAATAATTGACATGTTTGACTGAAATTTAATCATATATATCAAATGTCAAACTAATGCATTGGCATGTGTGTCATATTTGACTGTGTCAATTATACTCGTATAAATTTTAGATTCTCTTATGTATTGCATAATCTAACCTCATATGATTATGTGAACATCAGATCAGAGAAGAAAAGTACATTCTTTTGTACGGAGGTGACGACCTAAAATGGATCAGACAATTCACTAATGAGGCACGAACTGTAGCACGAACTCTCCAAGTTCCACTTGAAATGGTCTATGTTGGCAGGAGCCACACCAAGGAGGAGGTGCACAAAATTTGTGCATCTATAATAATGGAGCAGCTGAGCTATTGCTGGCAAGACCCGACCTTTGTTTGGTACTTCTGGACAAGAATCGAGAGCATGATCTACTCGAAGATTCAACTAGGTAACGTCCATGACCATGGAGATACTATATGGCAAGAGATACAGAAGCTCCATAGTCATGACAAATCACACAGCGGATGGGTAGTGCTAGCCAAAGGCTCGAGGATCATTGTCCATGGTCAGGGTAAGGTGGCCATGACTACTCTTGAAGAACTGGAGAAGTGGAAGGAATCAGCTATAAGAGATGGATTCGATGTGGGGTTCGGAAATCATTACACAGAGCTTCATATGCAGGAATATCCATGTCATAGGATTCTGTTTCCCTCTGGTATGAGAATTCCAGGAAGTATGCCTTGCCCTGACTGTCGTCGCCCTATGCATAAAAGTGAATCGTTGATCTGCTGCCATGAAGATCACAATGCTGAAGCTGCTGAAGTTCTGGCTGCTTTAACTGATGTTGATCAATATGAGGCCTAAGTTACAATGTTTCTGTGATTTTTAATTTTTCTTGCATTTTTTTATGAGCATTACTATAATAAATCCCAAATAGGTGAGGTGATACATTTGCATTGGTATCATGTTGCAAATGGGTTACTTCAATCTTCTAGTTTAATTTCATGTCATCATGTGTTAAGGTACTCTCTATTCAAGTAATACTCTTTGTGTCCCAAATAAGTTTTTACACATTAATTTATTTTTCATTTGTCACTAATTAGTTTTTACAATTGATATTTTTCTTTGCAATGCAATTTTCTTCATGGAGGCTTGGTACATACGTTTCTTAACAAAAAAAAAAAAAAAAAAAGGCGGAATGAACACATAGTTGATTTGTAAAGAACATATAGTTTATTTGTAAACAACATATAGCTGTTTTATAAATTATACAGAACATCCAACTTTATGTTCTTTTTGTATATCTAAAGAACATTTGTAATATTAATAAAGAACATGATAATATTAAAGAACATTATTCATATAGTAAATGTACATTTGGTAATTTATAGAATTTAATTAATATAAATGATCATGCAAGTATATGAAAAAGAACATTTTACTATATTTTAATGTATATTGTATTATTTGCTAATGAACATATATGTTGTAGTGTTGTTTACAGGTTTAATGTACATTGTATTATTTGGATCATACAAGTATATGAAAAAGAACATTTTACTGTATTTTAATGTACACTATATTATTTAGACTACAACTTTTTTCTGATTTTATCTATTTGTTTGCTTTTTTTCTTCCGAAATGTAATTGGTCTGTTTTTTTCATGAACTTCATTTTGTTTCTCATTGCAACACCAAAACCACATAAATCGCAATTAATTCCCAAAAAAACCAAAAAATATAAACAAAAATTACAATTTCCAGCCAAATTTATAAAAATAAAAATAAAAAAACAAACACTCAAACTCAAAATAAACAAGTATGAATGTCAAATCTGGTTTTACCTTTCGTTTTTGTCTGTCATCTTGAAAAATTTTGGACTCAAAATTTCGAATTTCTTGAAATTTTGCTTAGGGTTGAGGAATTTAAATGGGTTTGAAGTTGTTTGTTTTTGTTTTTTTTTTTTTTGAGAGAGAAAGTGAACTACTTTTGGTAAAAAAAATAAAATATTAATAATAATAAACTGAAATGATTTGTAATTAGTGTATGGTAAAAAAAAAAAAAATTAATTACTACTTATCTATTTCCTTTTTTACAAAACTGATGCTCAAAAATCTCACGTACATTATAAATGAACACTATGTTGTTTTATATGCCCATGTACATTATAAATGAATCGAACACTATGTTCTTATATATGTCCATGTACATTAGAATATACCTGCATGTACATTCTGCCTTTTGTTGTTTTGGAGCGTATGTACGATGCGAACGGTACATACGCCTCCACGAATCAGACTTTGTCTTTGTAGTACCAAAAGGCGAAACTACAATAACACATGTCATCATCTCCTACTTAATAAAATTTTCGTCATCAAAATTAGAGCATAATATTGTATTAAAAGAAGTTATAGCATTGTGTATTTGTGCTATCATCACTTAAGACTTTTTTAATACATACAAAATATTATGTAAAGTTTATTATTGCAATACAATTAAACCTTTATTACTTGCAAAATAAAGATATAGTGAAAAAGATGTTGGCTATACAAAATTCAAACTAAAACCCATCTAATAGCGGTTGGTAGCGACTTTGCAGTTGATGACATGACGGTGATGTGAGTTATGCAAATGCAATTGGTGTGGCTCAATGGTTGATAACTTTGTATAGGATGTGGTAAGTGTAGATATGACAAAGAATTATATGAGATAGATAAATAAGAGGGGAATGAACAAATGTCGTAAAATGATGGACAAATTAAATGATCAAACACAATCAAATAATTAGGTTTTCATTTATTTCCTAAAAAAAAATTAAAAAAGTTAAAAAAAAATTAAAAAAACTAGGTTTTCATTTAAATTAGGAAAATTTAAAATAATACCAACTATCAACGGTGTATGCAAAATAATACGAACTCAACTATTTGCTATTAGTGGTACCACCTTTTTTAATATATGTGTAAAATAGTATGTTGGTCACCGAAAAAGTATCACGGGGAATATTCCGTCTATTATTATTATTGTTGTTGTTGTTGTTGTTGTTATTAACTTTCTGTTTTCTTTTCAAAATACAAGTATTATGTTGACAATTTACTTTATAGTAAAATCCAAATTAAATAATGCCCCACCCCTTTGTTAGAATTTTTTTAAAAAAATTTGTTGAGTTGTCAATATGTATTTAAATTATCTTTTTCAAAATAGTAGTAATTTCTATTATCACACAATAGTAAATAGGGTATTTAAATGTGAGGATTTTAGAATTTTTAAATAATTTTTTAAACTAATTATATTAAAATAATAATGCATTAAAAATACCATATTCAATATTTTGTGGTAGTAGAAATTACTACATGTATTTTGAAAAAAAAAATTAAATTCATATTGACAACTCAAAAAAAAAAGCCTTACAAAGGGGGGCATTATTAATTTGTTTTGTAATATAAAGGAAATTGTTAACATAATATTCATATTTTGAAAAAGGAAAAAAAAAACCAAAAAAAAAAATATATGAATAATAATAATAATAATAATAAATATAGACGGAATATTCCTCGAAATACTTTTTCGGTGACCGGTGTACTATTTTGCACATATTATACAAAAGGTGGTACCGCTAATAGCAAATAGTTGAGTTCGTATTATTTTGCACACACCGTTGGTAGTTGGTATTATTTTAAGCCAATTTTCCAATAAATTAACCATAACAACGGGTCTGCATGTCGGCTCCGGGTTCTAGTAAGTTTGACCCGAAAATTTAATTCCATTTATAAATTAGCAAAGTGATAATTGTATATTAAAACAAAAGGCTAAAAAAGATAGTAATATCAAACCTCTATTTGCAAGATAGTTAATCAACAATTTGTATCAAAAAAGTAATTACCAAACCCTTGTTATAATTTTACTTTTTACATCAAATATGAAATTAT